TTGATACCTGAGCTGATGTGCGCCCAAGGCTAGGTCACCAGGAAGGATCTGAACTGGAGCCGGGGACTGCAGGACAGTCGTATGTATCCGCTCTCCAGTCTTCTGCCTGTAAGGGAGTGAAGGGAGGCCCTAAAAATACAGTCTTGGATTTGGACAAATTAAGTTAATAATCTAGCCCTTCTGCTGGCATGTATGCATGTTATCGGGTGTGAACTGAGCGTGTTGTTGGCCTGAAACACCAGTTCAGAAGGAAAGTCCCAGAGCATTTACAGAGGAGTTATGAAGGCCAGAGCTGGGGGGGGGGTTGCACAGCATTGTCCAGGTCAGATCCATTATCTTCAGTTTCTCAGGGCATTTAGAAAGCTAGCTGGGAGGTTTAGGGAACAGCAAAGGAAAGGGAGGAAAAGAGATACAGGGAACCCAAGAAAGAGAAGGTCAAGCACATGAAGTACCCTGTTTGCTGGTATCTTTGTGGGATGAGGACGCTAAGGTTGCTTAGCGCATCCACATCACAAACCAGCTATCGGAACCTATGTATAGAAGTCGACAGAAATCAGCCTCCTTATAGGCTTAAAATGATAGGCCCACACATGTACACAATTAAATACTCAAATTTAGGATCTTAGAATTCACAATACAGGCTTGTGCAGCTGTATATCTTATTTGGAGGCCACTGCTGTTCAAATCAGCAGGTTGCAGGAGCTCAGGTGTAGTTCAAATATTCACAGCAGCTATGACTGTGGCCAGCACATAGAGCTCTGCCAGCCCCACAACCACCTGTGGAGCTGCAAATCTCTGAGGGAAATAAATGCCAGGAAAACAAAACTCCAAGGGAAAAGCCAGAGGAAAAAGATGCCTGTTGCAGACTTGGCCTGTACCTTGTCTCAGCTATGGCGGTTCTGCATCCCCCTGCCTCAAGCCCTGGGCTGCCACAGCAGTCCCAAACGCACAGCGTTATTTAGGTTATGAGCTGAGAGGCTGCTGCTGTTTGTCCCCAGCTTGCCACAATGCCTTCTGCCCAAAACAGTGCCATCAAAGAGGCCCAAAGCCTGCAAAAAAGAGCAAGGAAGGGGGCTGAGCGATGGAGGTGGCCCCGTCCCGCCTGGGCTCCCGCAGAGATGCTGCAGGGGCACCCACAGGTGAGCAGGACGAACCCATGCCTCCCATAGCCAGGCCAGCCAGGCACCCATCCAAGCTTCTCACAGGAAGCCCATCTGGGGGGGTTCAATGCAATCTGCTCCACCAGACCCAGGTTAGCCCTCTTCCCACAACTCGCCTCCCCAGCCACACTGGCAGCCATTTCCTCAGGCCTTGGGGCCTGCTGGCGCTGGACTCACGGGTTTCAGGCTGCCCTCGGCCAGCAGCAGGGAGGCTGCGCACCCCCTGCCCACCCCCCAAAGCATGTCAGCGCCAGTGGTGCTAGAAGGGACCAGAAACCTCAGGAAAAGACGCCTTTAAGGGCTGTTACACCATCGCCTCGCAATATGACAGACCGCCTCAAAATGGCGGCGCGG